ACCGAGTAGCCCATGAGCAGAGAGGAAGGATGATCCTGTGGTCAAGGCACTGAACTGGGCCCCCTGATAGAGCAAGGAACCAAACCCCAACTTTCTTCTAGGACTCACCCAAGGCCATTTAGGCCCATCTTACCAAGGGGAGTTGGGTGCCTACGTACGTTTGAAGGTCTGGGCCTTCATCTCTCTGGGCTTCTGTTCCCAGTCTACAGTGCAGGGTGTAGAGAGAATATGTTGGATATAGAATGGCTAACCTCGTGAGGAGGGCTTTAAACTAGGTTCGACGGGGACAGGTGAGCAAAGCCCACAGGTAAGTGGAGAACGTGGGGACCTGGGAGATGGGAGGGAGCGTGGAAATGGGAGGAAGCGTGGGCTACAATGGCAGAGAGAAAGGAGGGTCAGGGCAAAATTGGGAGGCAAGGTCAAATCAGGATCTTAGATGCCTATATACAAATGCGAGAAGTATGGGAAATAAGCAGAAAGAACTGGAAGCGCTAATAAATAAGTACAATTATGACATTGGTGGCATCACAGAAACTTGGTGGGATAATACACGATTGGAATGTTTCTATAGAAGGGTACAGCTTGCTCAGGAAGGATAGACAGAGAAAAAAGGGAGGACGTGTTGCCTTATACATTAAGAATGAACACACTTGGAGTGAGGTGGAGATGGACATAGGAGACGGAAGTGTTGAGAGTCTCTGGGTTAGGCTAAAAGGGATTAAAAACAAAGGTGATGTCATGCTAGGAGTCTACTAACAGGCCACCTATCCAGGTAGAAGAAGTGGATGAAGCTTTTTTTAAACAACTAACAAAATCATCCAAAGCCCAGGATTTGGTGGTGATGGGGGACTTCAACTATCCAGATATGTGTTGGGAAAATAACACAGCGGAGCACAGACTATCCAATAAGTTCTTGGACTGCATTGGAGACAACTTTTTATGTCAGAAGGTTGAAAAAGCTACCGGGGGGGAAGCTGTTCTAGATTTGATCCTAACAAAATAGGGAGGAACTACAGGCAGTCCCCGGGTTACGTACAAGATAGGGACTGTAGGTTTGTTCTTAAGCTGAATCTGTATGTAAGTCGGAACTGGCGTCCAGATTCAGCCGCTGCTGAAACTGATCAGTTTCA